TTGCGTAACGCATTCGTGAACACTGCAATGCGTAACGCATTTGTGAACACTGCGTTGCGTAACGCATTCGTGAACACTGTGCGGAACACTGGGACATTCGGGAATACTATGCGACGTACTCGTAAACACACTGTACGACACGTTTGTGAAACACAACGGCGTATTCGTATAGTTCATGGACACTGCGCGAAACTGTTTTGAACACGGCATGACACATGTTCGAACAATGCGCGACGCATCGATGCAGACTGACGCATTCGTTAACACTGCGTTTAGTAACGCATTCGTGAACACTGCGTTGCGTAACGCATTCGTGAACACTGCGTTGCGTAATGTATACGTGAACACTGTGTTGCGTAACACATTCGTGAACACCGCGTTGCATAACGTATACGTGAACACTGCGTTGCGTGACACATTCGCTAACATTGCGTTACGTAACGTATTCCTGAACACAGCGTTGCGTAACGCATTCGTTAACACTGCGTTGCGTAATGCAATCGTGAACACTGGGTTGCGTAATATAATCGTGAACACAGCGTTGCGTAACGCATTCGTGAACACTGCAGTGCGTAACGCATTTGTGAACACTGCGTTGCGTAACGCATTCGTGAACACTGCAGTGCGTAACGCATTCGTGAACACTGCAGTGCGTAACGCATTCGTGAACACTGCGTTGCGCAACGCATTCGTGGACACTGCGTTGCGTAACGGGTTCGTGAACACTGCGTTGCGTAACGCAATCGTGAACACTGTATTGTTACATTATAAGCGAATTTATACGTGAACACTGCGTTGCGTGACGCATTCGCTAACATTGCGTTACGTAACGTATTCCTGAACACAGCGTTGCGTAACGCATTCGTTAACACTGCGTTGCGTAATGCAATCGTGAACACTGGGTTGCGTAATATAATCGTGAACACAGCGTTGCGAAACGCATTCGTGAGCACTGCAGTGCGTAACGCATTTGTGAACACTGCGTTGCGTAACGCATTCGTGAACACTGCAGTGCGTAACGCATTCGTGAACACTGCAGTGCGTAACGCATTCGTGAACACTGTATTGTTACATTATAAGCGAATTTATGTCTGGCTGTCTTTTTTGCTCGAACACTGCGTTGCATAACGTATTCGTGAACACTGCGTTGCGTAACGGATTCGTGAACACTGCGTTGCGTAACGCATTCGTGAACACTGTATTGTTACATAATAAACGGATTTATGTCTGGCTTATATTCTGGCCGTTCATTTATCACGTTATCAACAAATGATAACGCGTTGCAATGAATGTTAACCTCATCGATCGCCTCTTGCCAATCATGATTATCACAAAGCACGACTTTGTTCAGTTGCAATTCTCGCAACAAATGATAATATCGATGTAATCCAACACATGTTACTTTTTGTATGTGCTATTACCATCGTGGCGATATCACAGTAGGGAGCTGTATCATAAAATTATGATTCATATTGGAATATTGACATTATTGATTTAAATAAGATGTCCTACTTCTCTATTCTTATTCAATATGCACTTTTAACCACCTTTGTATATTTTGTTTCTGTTATTTGATTTGTTTCTGAAGAAACATCTCAGCCATGTGCCGTTGACCTTACTCATGAACGTTTTTTCCCTGGATTAAAACCGATTCAAGATTAGTGTACATTTAGACTATCGTCACAACATCTAAAAAGGATTCCGTTTACGATATGTTTTTTTTTCATCAAAACTATTGACTAAAATTTAAATTTGTTCACGAAAATCATGAACAATATCCTATTCTATCTGTCTTTAATGATGAAATTAGGGATTTGTTTTGGGTTAAAATGAATGAATGAAATAAATGTACTAAGTTTTTTTTGACGATTATCAAAAATCAGTCAAATTTTTCCACTCTAGGAGTAGGAGTAGGAGAATTATGCTTCTGAGATGTGTTTGTATATCCCCGGGACGGACATCCGGGCATTTTCTACCGCCTGGCAACCCCCGCGGTGAAAACAAAGACCAAAAACTCGCAGAAAACGGTACTTTGCGATGGTTGTTGAGAGTCCCCTGAACAGTGTAATAAGATTAGCCCTACGTGTGTAACATATATGAATTTGGTTGTTCAGGATTACTTCAAAGTTGAGTTTGTGTTGTTTTCTCGAGTTTTCACCGGCTCCACCGGCGTTCCACAGCAGCGCGCACAGAGCCCATAGAAATACGTGGTACAGTGGTGCGCGTCTTAGCAACGTAGAACGTCCGTGACGTAGCTCCGCCCCCGAGGATATGTTCTGTTCTCACCTGTAAGCTGTTCTCACCTGGATGATCGCACGGAACGAAAGCTATAGTGTTATTGTTGTGGCGACTGCAGTAACAGTAGGGCAAAACACACCACGAGAGCACGGAACTGAATAGATCGTGTAACCACATTTTGGTTTTGTACTGTCGATCGATACAATGGCACTTTAGGCATTTCTACCTACGTTGTACAGGAGCGGGAAATTGGCAAAACAAAGTTTATTGTGAATCCTAACAAAGGATGTTAGTCTCACTTCCACTTTCAACGAAAAGGTATACTGTTTATAGCATACCCCCTAACTTTGCGAAAATGAAATGGAGGCCGTCTGACGGCAAGTTCATTTTTGTTGGAATTAAAGGGCGGTAGTCGTCGCGCCACGCATGCGCGTAATATATGGGTCTTATATAAACAAAGATGGCGACTTTGACTGTTGCGCAGATCAACAAGTGCAAACTGAGACGTTTCCAAGCTTCAATGAGGTTATTTTAGTTGATTGGAAAATATCGAAGGAATCACCGGCGGTAATCAGTGCAAGTTGCGCCCATGTCTAACCTCATACTAGTACTTTCCATTTGAATAGCGCATTGGATTGTGGGAAAATCAATGTTTATCAACACAAATGTCGCATATGGGCAGCGCGACGATCACCGCGCTTTAAGTTTTGAAGGGACAAGGTTTGTATTGGATATAGATGG